TATAGGCAGAAGGTGAGAAGATAAAAGGGAGAATAAAGAGAGTGGTGAGAAAGGAACGGGGGTAAAGGAAGACAGGGATAGAAAGGAGGTATACCAAGTAGAGAGTGGTAGAGAGCCACAGTAATTGCCTCAAGGATATACTTTACCAAAACACAGCCTGGGGGTGAAAAGTACAGAAAAAAACTAATGAACACATTTACCTTCCAAGAAATGAAAATCCCCTTAATTACTGAATATGGTAAAAAGGACTTTTAGGATTCAGAGTTTGTCTTCATGATTACAGTCAAGAGTGAGGAGGTGTAAACTGAAAAATTCAGCATGGTTAACAGACCATGTGTCTTTGTCTCCTGATGACTTTTGCTGCTTCAGTTGTGATGGTGATAGATGTGTGTGTGAGTGTGTGTATTCCTACTCTAATATATAACCATACCCACAATGGTTATCTGTTATGCATTATGCCTCTGTTACATGTTATATATCTTAGAGGACTAGCAACATCTTGCAAGAAAGAATGTGAATCAGCTGCATGGTAGATAATCTCTAAGATTTTTTAAACTGTGAGATGTCATTTTAGTGAAATAACTAAAAATAATACCATCCCAAAACAAAAAAGTAAATAAGATACTGAATGGTAATTTTACATAAAAATTTCTCTGAGGGCCGGCCCGGTGGCGCACTGCTATAGTGCGCCGCTTGGGAGCGCGGTGGCGCTCCCGCCGACGGTTCGGCTCCCACATACAGACCGGCCGCTCACTGGCTGAGTGAGGTGCGGGCACAGGGTTGCGATCCCGTTGCCGGTCCCGGTCCGGTACAGGCGCGACACTGAGGGTTGCGATCCGTTGCCGGTCATGAAAAAAGACAAAAAGGAAAAAAAAATTTCTCTGATAGTCTATAGTAGCAGAAAGGCTCTTATTTGGGTTATGTGGGCTAATAGTTCTTTCTGGCAACAATCAAAGCTAAGAGCAATAGTTTCTTTTTATTGAGCTGCTACCTCATGTAAAAATCACAAAACAACATTCTGTTTGAGGATAATTCTGCCTCAAATAATTTATTTTCTTACTGTCTCCTACTTTACATTACCAAGAATGTAAAAAAATAGACTTCCTTGTTTCTGGTATTTCATCTCCTGTCATTGTTTGTTCTATGCTGGAAGTAAAAATTCTTTGTCATTTCATAGTAATCCTGTATGGCTTACAGGATTTTATAGTAATCCCACGTGGTTTACAAATTATCAGATAAAAACAGGATTTACTTTTTAAACGGGGAATAAGAAACAAGAAGAGCCAATGAGGCTATCAGAAGAATGAAATAATTTTTTCCCTGGACAATAGTCAGTCTAATAGTCATTCTGTAAAAGGAATCAATTTGGAAGAAAAAAAACGTAGAAGCCACTGGGGATTTTTTATTTATATTTTGGCTTTGCCAATTTCAGAAATACTCTGATCTAGTAAGATCAAGCTGAATGAGGTGCATCCAGGATTGGCTTCCTGAGAAAGGACACAATGGGGGAAATTAAAACACAATATTATTGGGCCGGCCAGGTGGCGCACTGCTGCAGTGCACCGCTTGGGAGTGCGGTGGTGCTCCCGCCGAGGGTTCGGATCCCACATACAGACCAGTTCCCGCTCATTGGCTGAGCGAGGTGCGGGCGCAACACCGAGGGCTGCAATCCCGTTGCCGGTCCCTGTCCGGTACGGGTGCAACACTGAGGGTTGCGATCCGTTGCCGGACACGAAAAAAGACAAAAAGAAAAATAAATAAATAAATAAATAAATAAATAAAACACAATATTAGTTTCCCTACCATTTTATTTACACAGAATACGACAGCAACAATTCAGATAAATGTCATCCTTTTTTTCAGAGATGGTCTAAGAAAATGTGTTTATAATAATAATTATAATAATAGAGATAATAATTATCATTAAACTTTTAAAAAACAATTATTGAGTGCTTTTGTGTGTGTGTGTGTGTGTGTGTGTGCATGCACACGAGGTACTCTACTAAAGCCTGTTAGGGTAAATATTATTATAATTAATGCCATTATACAGACAATAAAACAGTCTCAAGAATTTGAAGCAATTTGCTCAAAATTATATAGATGAAACAGGTACTAGGACCCAGATCACTTGGACATTGCTCAAAAACCACAGCCTTAATGATTTGCTATACTGCCTCCAACATAAGATACTGCTAAGAGATGATGATGGAACATAAAAGAGATTAGTGAATGTGTTTAATTACAAGAAAAAGGAAATTATTCTAATGGCTAGATGTAGTTAAGAATCAATAACCCTATGTTGGGAATCTGCTCTTTCTTCTTGAACCATAAAGATGTTTTCAACTAGAAAACATTTGGAAAACTTCCAGACCAAGACTGTCTGCTGTTAGGCACATGTAGGGGTCAAAAGAATAAATTATGGCACAGTGTTTTTATTTGATCCCTATATATTCATTTGTAAGCAAGAATTTTCATGTAACTATAGTACGAGGGTACTTCAAAAAATTCGTGGAAAAACTGAATTAAACAAAGTACAAATACTTCCATAAACTTTTTGAAGACCCTTCATACTTTCATTGAAAAGTCTTAATCAAGATCATGCCAGAAAGCTAGCCCATTTACAATAGCCACCAAAAAAATAAATACTTAGGAATAAAGTTAACCAAGGATGTGAAAAACCTCTACGATGAGAACTACCAACCACTGTTGAGAGAAATTAAAGAGGACACAGGAAGATGGAAAGATATCCCATGCTGTTGGATTGGAAGAATTAACATTGTGAAAATGTCCATACTACACAAAGTGATCTACAGATTCAGTGAAATCCTCATCAAAATTCTAATGACATTTTTCTCAGAAATGGAAAAAACTATCCTAACATTTATGTGTAATAACAAAAGACCACAAATTGCCAAAGCAATCCTGAGCAAAAAAATAAAGCTGGAGGCATAATGCTCCCTGACTTTAAACTATACCACAAAGCTATAGTAACCAAAACAGCATGGTAGTGGCATAAAAACAGACACATGGATAATGGAATAGAATAGAGAATCCAGAAGTCAACCCATACACCTACAGCCATCTGATCTTTGACAAAGGAACCAAGTCTACACACTGGGGAAGTGACTGCCTCTTCAGCAAATGGTGCTGGGAAAACTGGATATTCATATGTAGGAGAATGAAACTAGACTCATACCTCTCACCATATACCAAAAACAACTCGAAATGGATTAAAGAATTAAATATACATCATGAAACAATAAAACTCCTTAAAGAAAACATAGGGAAACACTCCAGGAAGTAGGAGTGGGTATAGACTTCATGAATATGACCCCAAAAGCACAGGCAACCAAAGGAAAAATAAACAAATGGGATTATATCAAACTAAAAAGCTTCTGCACAGCAAAAGAAACAACAGAGGGAAAAGACAACAAAAGAGTGGGAGAAAATATTTGCAAAATATACATCTAACAAAGGATTAATATCCAGAATATACAAGGAACTCAAACAACTTTACAGCACAAAAAATAAGTAACCCAATAAAAAATGGGCAAAGGAGCTGAATAAAGCATTTCTTAAAAGAAGATATATGAATGGCCAACAGACACATGAAAAGATGCTCAACATCACTCAGCATTCGGGAAATGCAAATCAAAACCACTTTGAGATACAATTTCACTCCAGTTAGGATGGCTAATATCCAAAAGACTTAAGAATGATAAATGCTGACAAGGTTGCAGAGAAAAAGGAACACTCATACGCTGTTGGTGGGACTGCAAAATCACGCAACCTTTATGGAAAATGGTATGGAGATTTCCTCAAACAATTACAGATAGATAAACCATAAGACCCAGCTATTCCACTACTGGGTATATACCTTGAGGAATAGAAGTCATCATGCTGAAGGGATACCTGTACTCCAGTGTTTATTGCAGCTCTATTTACAATAGCCAAGAGTTGGAACCAGCCCAGTATCCATCATCAGGTGAGTGGATAAGGAAACTGTGGTATATCTACACAATGGAACACTACTGTGCTATAAAAAAGAATGAACTACTACCATTTGCAGCAACATGGATGGACTTAGGGAAAATTAAATTAAGTGAAATAAGCCAGGCACAGAAATGGAAATACCACATGTTCGCACTTATTTGTGGGAGCTATAAACAAACAAACAAAGAAGCAAACAAACAAATAAACAGTGGGTGGCGGGGTGACAGGGAAGAAGATACAACAATCATAACAATTCCTTGAACTTGTTAGGACAAATGAACAGAATACTGTTGATGGGGGAGTGGGGAGAGTGAGGGTGCAAAAGGAATTGGTAAAGGGATGTGAAAATCAACTACATTGTATATTGATAAAATAAAAATAAAAAACAAAAAAACCCCCGAAAGAATAAATTATGGTACAATGCTTTTATTTGATCCCTATATATTAATTTGTAAGCAAGAATTTTCATGTAACTATAGTAAAAGGGTACTTCAAAAAATTCGTGGAAAAACTGAATTAAAAATAATACAGGGGCCGGCCCGGTGGCGCACTGCTACAGTGCGCCGCTTGGGAGCGCGGCGGCGCTCCCGCCGAGGGTTTGGATCCCACATACAGACCGGCTGCTCACTGGCTGAGCGAGGTGCGGGCGCAACACCGAGGGTTGCGATCCTGTTGCCGGTCCTGGTCCGGTACGGGCGCGACACTGAGGGTTGCGATCCGTTGCCAGTCAAAAAAAAAAAAAAAAAAAAAAAAAAAAGGAAAAAAAAATAATAATACAAATCCTTCCATAAACTTTTTGAAGACTCTTCATATTTTCACTGAAAAGTCTTAATCGAGATCATACCAGAAAATACACAGGTGTAGATTAACATGGTTATCTATGAATGAAGTTATTTTGACAGCCACAGGGGAAACAGATGTAACAGTTGTTGGGTGCCTGTGCTGAGCCCAAGATCTGAAAAAAATAGTGTGAGTCTGATGATACTCAAGAAAAGCAAAATATTTACCTCGGACAGCATAGCCATCTTTTACTGATGCTGGGAAGGGGGGTAGGTTGTCTTTTGCATATACATCTTGAGCAAGGACTCGCCCCATTCCGTCTAAAAGAGAAGAGAAGAAAAATGTGAATATTGAGAGCAGTGGGGTAAGCGGGCAGTTATAAAAAAAAGATGGGCATGAGTGTTTGTCTGACACAGTGTGGAAATGGGCTCAGTCAGACCTCCTGATTTCTGTCCCATGGATTAGGAGACAGAAAGAAGAGATGCAGCCTGGTGCCTGAAATAGAAAGTTACATCCAGTCAATTCACAGTAATGTTTACAGAGATTATCTGAATATGAGTTGCTAAATAGTCATCAAAGATGTGTTCAGGTGATGTGTCACTAATCCTTTAACAACCCAAATATGATTTTCTTTAAAAGGAAAGCCAAATCTTAAACATCTTCATAACCATTGACCCAGTAATTTCACTTCTAGAACTCTATCCTAAGAAAATGGATAAATCATTATGCACATGTTTATTTCAGAGTTGCTTACGTTAGTGAAAAATGTAAAGAAAACAAAATATCAATAACATAGGTACTTAAATAAACAATGATCTATGCTATGATAAAATATTATGCAGGCTAAGGTAATATCTATGAAGAATATTCATCAATGTAAGAAAATTCTTATGATAAATATATATATATTTTTTTCCTTTTTGTCTTTTTCCGTGTCCGGCAACGGATCGCAACCCTCAGTGTCGCCCCCGCACCGGACTGGGACCAGCAACGGGATCGCAACCCTCGGTGTTGCTCCCGCTCCTCGCTCAGCCAGTGAGCGGGAACCGGTCTGTATGTGGGATCCGAACCCTCGGCGGGAGCGCCGCCGCACTTCCCAAGCGGCGCACTATAGCAGTGCGCCACCGGGCCGGCCCCATGATAAATATTTTTAAAACATGCAAAATTACACTTGCAGTGTATTACCTTAACTATATTACGATGTAAGTGTATAGTGATAGAAAAAGAAGGAAAAGACAAATGTGAAAATATAAAGCATTTGTTATTTCAAAATGTTAAAATTATTTATGATTTTTATTCCCTTTGCTATACTGTTCCAAAAATTTCCAAGTTTTCTACAATGAACACATGCCATTTTTATAGTCATAAAGTTTTTTTTGTCCTTAAAAAGAGAAAAATAAAAAAAAGGAAGGAGCTTCCCAATTATTCCATTTGAATTTTAGCCTTTGATTTTGGCTATGTTTACCCAAATGATTTACTGACTAAGAAGAGTGCCCATAACCTATTATATGAAGTGTGCATTCAAACCAATCTCGATGATAATTACTTTCAGCTCAGAAATTTAACTAGTGCCAGCAAAAATAAGTTTCAGGCATTATTCATGACCAATTCTTTAAATCCTGTAGTCAGAACCAGTCTTTATTAATTAATTAATTAATTATTATTTATTTTTAAAAGATGACCCGTAAGGGGCCCTTAAACCCTTGACTTGGTGTTGTCAGCACCATGCTCTCCCAGGTGAGCCAACCGGCCATCCCTATATAGGGGTCCGAACCCAGGCCTTGGTGTGACCAGCACCACACTCTCCCGAGTGAGCCACGGGCTGGCCCATCTTTATTAATTTAAAAGAAGTAAAAGAAAAATAAATAGGAGGTGGAAAAGAAGAAGAGGAGGGGGAAAATCAAGACAATAAGTAACATAAGACTTGATTTACATGAGTGTTTGTATAATTTAGAGAATTTCATTGTTTTCAGAGCTAGATAAGTGAATCTGTATTTTTCGGCTTTGGCCTTCTTAGCCACCTAGGACCTCTGGTTTTCAGATCTTAGGACCTAGAAGTAAGTACAGAGAGATTTTTAATTTTGTACTCTGATCCATAGTGATAGTGATATCGACTCTCCTTTTAGAAAAGTAACACCTGAATTAGAAGGGAGAACTTCTTAGTAGATTCTGACTTCAGATACTCCCAGGAGGCTGAAGGTATTCTGGAGCCATTCTTGGAGCTTTGGACCATATTTCGGAAGACAACGGAAGTGGTGAGACCAGAGGGTCTGGTTTGTATTCACATATACAACATTGACTCCCAAATGAATGTAAAGCTATAAGCTCGTCCCTGATAATGAGCCCAATGGCATTCGCCTAGGATCACAATAAGGGGTGGATCCTTATCTAGAACTAATCTGGCCTGGGGTAGAAGATCAAAATATAAACTCTATATCAGTTCAGATTCTAAGACAATGACTTTGCTGGATTTTGAATAGTTCAGTAATAGTGGTTAATAATCAAAGATAGCACAAGGACTTAGTTTTTCTGGCAGCTGGCCCTGTTAACCTAAAAAATACCTATTAAATTTTATAAATTAGTAAATAATATCACATATAATCTCATTTATTCTTGCAAAAATCCAGTACAGCATTATTATGTTCATTTTACAATTGAAGAAAGAGAGATTTAAACAGGGTAAGTCACTTACTCAAGGTCATATTTCATAGGTGGCTAAGGTAGGATCGAAACTCTAGATTTTAGAACTTTCAAGTCATACAACCACAGCAGTAATTACTACCACTTATGTCTCCTCTACTTACTTCTCTTCCTCTAGTTCAAAGCTACAAGGTAGTTCATCAAAAAATTAGACATATGATTACCATATGAACCAGCAATTCCACTTTTGGGTATACATCCAAAGAACTGAAAGCAGGGACTTAAACAGATATTTGTATACCCATGTTCACAGCAGCATTATTCTCAATAGTCAGTGTTGGAAGCAATCATCAATGGATGAATTCATTGACAAATGAATGGATAAGCAATATGTGGTATATACATATAGGAATATTATTCAGCCTTATAAAGGAAGGAAATTCTGACATATGCTACAACATGGATATACCTTGAAGACATTATGCTTGGTGAAATAAGTCAGAGTTACAAAAAGAAAAATATTGCATGATTCACTTATATGCCATACCTAGAGTAGTCAAAATCATAGAGACAGAAAGTAGAATGGTGGTTGCCAGGGGCTGGGAGGAGGAAGAGGGAAAGGGGAGTTAGTATTTAATGGGTACAGAGTTTCAGTTTGGAAATACCAAAAAGTTTCAGAGATGGATGGTGGTGATGTTACAGAAAAATGTGAATGTACTCAATGCCACTGAACTGTACACTTAAAAAATGGTTAAAATGGTAAATTTTATGTTATATATATGTTTTCACCACTAGCACCAATGAAAAAGCTCAAAGAACTGTTGGTCATAAACATCAAGAGCACATAGTCATTTTTCCACTCTAAGTCCTTGCCAGTACCTCTAAAGAAACAATTCATGCTTCATCCGAGAAGACAGAGTCTGAACACTTAGCATGCCAAGTTTGAAAGACTACTGATACAGAAAGCTGTAAATCTCAGAGTGGCTTAAAATGTAAATGAATCAATGAACATAATGCTCTGAGGATAGAAATAATGATTATCTTCTGGTTTGTAAGATTTGGACAAATGAAAGTGGAAGGAAGTTGACTAAGGTCTCACTGACAGTCAATTTAGAGAAAAGAATATCAGTTGACTTGGTTTCTCTCTCTAACGCCTGAGAAATTTCTTACTATGCAATTTCATCCTAAAGGGTTCCTATGGTATAGAATCTATGCAATCATAATTTGATAACATTTGATTCTGGAAAACAATAAAAACTTTGTTCTGGCAGTCTGCAATAATAATTACTCCCATCGTAACATATACATAAACACTACGAAATAGCCCTCAAATTTCTGAGAAGGCTCAAATAATAACTTTGGAGTGGGAAAAATGTATGTATGACAAGGAATAAAATGGAGTTGTTTAAATGCTACCATCTACCCAAACTTCATTAGGCTACAAAATAATAAACATATCCTATTATAAGAATTCTGCAACGCTACCTTAAGACTCCTCTAGTAAAACGTGGGAAATGTTTATACTGATGTTTAGCTTTATTATTCACAAATGTCTGGTTTCTGATACAAAGTATGAGAGAGCAGCATTTTAGACAAAAGAAACAGGATCAAGGGAATTTGAACCTAATCTTATGAAAATGGGAATCCAATGAGGGATTTTTAAACAGACTAATGACTTCAAGTTACATTACCAGAAGAGTTTAAGCCTCTTGAAAGATAACGAGATCTGTCTTTTGTGAACCTTTCTTGTGACAAGATAGAGAACTGTTTGTAGGGACTGCATTTACTCTTAATATTCTCATAACATTTGTAACCATCTGTTATTGTACAGTTTTCACATTGTATTGTGGTTGTTTGTGAAACTGTTTTGTTTTCTTCATTAGGCTGTGAATTCCCTGGTGTCACAGCATATATGAAGGGTTTTCAAAAAGTACATAGAAAGATTTGTATTATCTTTTAATTCTATTTTCCACAAACTTTTGAAGTACCCTTGTATTACTCATCTTTGTATCCCCAAACACCATGCACAGTGTTTGGTATGTCAAAGGCACTCAATAAATAATTGTTGAATGACTGAGTCAATGAATGAGTGCACTAATGATAATGAATAAGGAGAAAAGATAAAGTAGAGAAAAAGGTCATGTTTATCAAATACAATCAATTTCAACCAAAGAGGACATAAAATGGAGAAGGATGTCTTGCTAACCTCTATTCTCATTATTCCGCATCTGGACTCCTCTCCTTTAGCCACGTCATTTTTCATATAATGCTTGCTCATCTCCATGTGTATGGTCATGTCTTCCCTAAACTCAAAGTATCATTTTCTTTTTTGTTGCCATGATCTATTTCAAGACTTCATTGAAGACAGTAAGTTCTCTTTGATTATTGCCACTCTGGATACTACTTATGCATATATTTTTGTCAGCTATATATCCAATTTGTAATACACCAATTAGCAACTATTTGCAAAATTGATGTGTAAGAGTTCTCAAGTTAGTGTGTGTGAGCAAGTATGTATTTGGTTTCTCAAGCTTCTGATGAAAGAGAACTGTACTTTTTATTTCCTTTGTGGCTACTCAAATACAGATCACACTCAAAATGCCTTCTACTAGCTTGGACTTCCAGAGGAGTCCTCACTGTTATTTAAATTCAGTTCTTCTTAAAAGGCAAGGACGAAGCT